ATTATGGCGATGTTTTGATTTTATCAGTAAAACCACAGGTGGTTCCAAAGGTTCTTCCAGAATTAAAAAATTACAAAAAACTTTTACTTTCTATTGCTATGGGTATTCCGTTGGCATCATTAGAAAAGGTATAATTTAATTTTTCTTGTTGTTGATATATTGAATGCTGTATATAAATTATTACTATTATATTTATAAATTATTATTATTATACTTCCAATCGCAGATTGGACACTCTATACATTAGATGTTTTTCATATATATATTATCAATTATTTTCTGTATGATCTTAACTTTTCTATAAAAACTTTATTTTTATTATATATTATTATATATATATATATAAGTAATATATTAGAATTACAAATTTCTAGCTGAAATTCAATTTAGTTTTTAACATTTTTATAAAATATAGTACAAAAAGTTACATAAAAAATAATTATAATTAAGTTTTTATTGATTTAAGAAATAATTTTTAATGATTTATGTTTAAAAAAAAAATATTAAACATAAAAAAATGAATTTCTTTAAATTATTGTATAAAAAGATCAGTTTTTATATTTTCATATTTCGCATTACATTACAAAATATTTTTAAAATATAAGCTATTGTTGACGATATAACGCACGATCTCAAGCATGAATGATAAAGCACTTTGCAGGATATGTTATATTGGTCTTGACATTCCATGAATTATATATAATCTCATGGTCACAAAAAATATAATTTATATTTAAGTATTCTTCAACATTTTGAATTTTTTTTCGAAAATATATTTTTAAAAGAAATCAAGAATAAAAATACATGACCTTGGCAGGAAAGTTTTTATTTTTTATTTTGGCGTTCAATGCCGTGAAATTTATAAATATATATCATGATTCATAACAAAAGGCAGTTTTATTTTTTATCTTTTATTCTTTTCATTTATTATTTCATTATTTAAGAATTTTAATTTCAATTTTAGGCCTTACCAGATGGAACTCCAGTAATTAGAGTAATGCCCAATACGCCAGTTCTTGTAGGTTGTGGTGCAACAGTGTATGCTCGTGGAAAGTATGCTGGCGATAAAGAAGCTGAAATAGCAGAAAAATTATTCTCCTCTGTGGGTTTATGTGAAGAAGTACCTGAAAACTTAATTGATCCCGTTACGGGTTTAGCTGGTTCAGGACCTGCATATGTATGTTTCGAAATTTCATATATATATTTCTCAATAATTACTCAATAATATTGTATAATAAATAATTTTTATTCTTTACTTTTTACCAATATAGGTATATATGATGATAGAGGCTTTGGCGGATGGAGGTGTAAAAATGGGTCTCATGAGGCCATTTGCGTACAAATTAGCTGCTCAAACTGTTCTTGGAGCTGGTACTATGGTTCGAGATACGAAGACTCATCCAGGACAGCTTAAAGATGATGTAGCATCGCCAGCAGGTTTAAAAAAAGCTATATTTAATATCATGTAACATATTTACTAATAATTATTATGCATTTACAAATTATTTATTCTTATTTGAATTAGGCTCTACCATAGTTGCATTACATTATTTAGAAGAACACGGATTGAGATCAGCTATAATTGGAGCAGTTGAAGTCTCAACGAAGCGATGTAAGGAAGTTAGTTCAATACAGTCAAATACAAAGAAAAATTAGATTGACAGAAGAAGGAAGAATTGTAGTTGCTGATAAAAAAACAAAGAAAGTAAGAAAGCATTGTTGTAACAGTTACAGTTTTAGAAAACGAAGTAAATCATAGTAATAGTATAATAGTTTCAATTTAGTAACGATTTATGTATAATTTTACAATTGTTATCTTTTATAAAAAAATTTCTAACATAATATTTCTGAAAAATATTTTGTATATTTTGTATATAATTCTTTTAACTTGATAAATGTTTATGATTCATTGTTGTATGTTCAAAGAACAACGTCCAAAAATGTTAATTTAAGATCTGTTATTTTTTTGATGATAACATATTTTGTAATGAAAATGTATAAAAATGTATATAATTATATTTTGTATTTAACATTTTTACGCTTATACTTTTAGTATAAATGAAATAAGAACATACGAATATGTTCTTCGTTTAAACGAATTTGATGATAAATTCATATTAAGATTATAAAAATTATCATACAAATTATAATTTTTTATACATATAAACATAATATATATACATATAAAATTATGTCATTTTATACTGTATTTAAAAAATAACATATTAAATGTTATTTTTACTGTTTTACATTGAAATGTTAAAATAAATATTGAAATTTAAATTTTCTATTACAAATTTTTTTTATAAATAGATTTTTATAATACTTTTTCTTTTTAATACATAGAAAAATTTCTATTCTTTCTTTTATTATTATATTTATTTGTATCTATTAGTGTATTTGTATTTTGAAAATTAAGTTAGTAGCTTAAGTTATATTAATTCTAAAATGTAAAATATTTATGAATATTTATGAGATAAAAACATATAGCATTATAATTAAATCTAATTAATTAAACTAATTAAAACTAATTAAATCTATAAATAAGAATTAAATTTTTATTATAATTTTATTATAATAATTTATAATATTTGTTGTTCAATTAAATTTTTCTTGTTTAAAATTAAGATTCATTATTAAAAATTAAAATCTGATTTTAATCTAAAATTAAATATTTCTCTATAATATATAATAATTTTTTTGAATAACATCATTATTTTTGTCTTTACATTATAATTCATAACATTTATATGTAATAGTTTAATCTAGAATCTAGAATACTTTTTCTCTGTATAATCTATCAAATTTGTTGATTTTTTGTATTGCAAAGAATTTAATATAGTTATGTATTATTATTCTGTTCTTAACTTTTTTTTCATTTTTTTTTTTATTTTTGGTGCTTTTCTCTTTGATTTTATCATTCATTCAAAAAATTTTCTTTTTTTATTTAGAATACAAATTTATAATATAAATTTTTCGAATAATATGTTAAGATGTTAAGAAACATGCATTTTCATATTATAATAAAATCTTCTTTCAATAAAAAGGAAAGGTAATTTATTTATGTTGTGATTATCCCGACAACAAATTATTTCAGAGATTTCTTAATTTATAATGCAATATATTATTTCTATTGTTCTCAATTACATATTTTCCAAAAAATTGTGCAATTCTTTTTTAGCACACTTGTTTATTTTTTTCTGTCCAACGCATATGATATTTACAAAAAATCCTATGATTTAACTTATTATAAATGATATACATACTTTTCTTTAGAATTAGTAAAATAGAATTAGTTCATTTTCAATTGCAATATATTTTTCATTCTAATTTAGCATTTTTTTTCACATTTAGTTTTCATAATTCAGGAAATTATTGTATGTTTTCAATTCTTTATGTTTTTTTATATTTTTTTCAATTACTTGTCAATTGTTTTTTATAAATTTTTTGATATTCAATTCTGTTTCAGAGAAAAATAAAGAAAAATATAAATTAGTCAAATTAAAAAATATCATTAATAATATTCTAAAAATGAAATGTAATTTATTAATGAAGAATTGCATGGAAAAGTATTATATTGATATTTAAATTATGTGTTATTAGATCTGTAATATCTTATACGTATTATATATAGATATATTCTTCCATTTGAAAAATTTAAGCAAGTATTAATCAATTGAATTTATAATTAAAAGTTACAATACATAAAATATAATATAAAAATATTTATTTTTTACTTACTTATATTATTTTAATATTTGTAATAAGATGAAAAACTATATTTATATATGTATTTGTTCATTAAATCAATATTATTTTTTCTTATTCATTTATTTAAATATTTAAATTTATTATTGTCACATTTTATTTTATTATTCATTATAATTATTTTGATATTTATATAATTATTTAAAATAACTAACTATAATTTTTTATAATATTTATAATATTAATTTATAATATTTTCTATATTTTCTATTATTTTTGCACATGATTTTATTATCTCTTATATAGAGATAAAAAGATAAAAAATTTTGTTATACTTTTTATGAATTTTATATTAATACAATATTTTTTAGGTTAAGTTCTTGTATATAATATTTTCTTATTTTGAATTTATTTGATGTAATTATATGTATTATTGATAATGATGAATAATATCATATATTGTAATTAATGCCATAAATTAAAATGGACAAATAGTTTAAATTATATCATTAAAGTTAAATTAATTATATTATAGAATACAAGCAAAATATGGTAACAAAATATCATTTAAAATAACAAATATGAAATAAAAAAAATTTATTTAATAATACATTAATAAAGATATTAATATGAAAAATTTTACTTTTAAAAGATATAAATTAATTATTAATTATTTATTTATTTATAAAGAAAAAGAACATAACTTAACATAACTTTTAACATAACTTAAATACTGTTTAGAATTTTTAAATTTTAAATATTAATATTGTATGTAAATTATAAATATTAATATTGTATCGACCTGAAGATGGCACATATATCAGCCATTATTAATTTAATAATTTGAACTAGTCACTGAATTAGAAGTTTTCAAAAGTTCTTTTTTTGTTTGTGATATATAAAATGTTTGTATTTGATAAAAAAATTATTCATAAATACAAAATTTCGTGGCTTCTTATCTTGTTTAGAATCAATATTGATTTATTTCAGAATACAAATTTTATAGTTTATTTCAAATTAAATTTTATTTTGCATTGCTTGTAATCATTATTTTAAATTAAAATCTAATAATAAATAAAGTAATAATATTAATTTAATTTAATATTTCTAAAGTATAAAATTCAATTTTTATTAATATATTTAAAATATTCTGTAATTGATTTTTTCAAAATAGTTTAAAAAATATTCAAATTTGAACTTCTTGTGATGCTGTTAGATGGCAGCACATGATACAATTATAAGCACGTTTGACAGTAGAATATTTTATTCGGAAACGTTCGACAAGTGGCGTTTGATATTACAAGTGCGATGTGTGATGATGTGTGTAAACAAAAAAAGTGCATTAATGTTCCGCGAAATGTTTGGCAAACCTGACGCAAATCTATGATAAATGTTAACTTCATCGAATGATTGGATGGACATTGATGTCAAGAAATATTTCGGTTACCATCACAACGAAGCATTTCAGTGAGCATTGTGGGTGAGTGTTTTTAGGTTATGCATTGATTTATGAATAACGATTTCGCTTATTTTAATCATGTATCATATCAATACTTGTCATATCATTGTAGAGTTATTTTGTTCTTTCAATTTTGTCAGAAATCATTTATTAATGTACAATCCGTTCTTTTGAATCTGCCATTCATTTATTAATTATCGTATCTAATTTTATGACATATGTATGTATGACTTATGTATCGCGAAAAGAAAAATATGAACATATAATTACTCAATTTCCTTTATAATTTCTGTAATATTATTGAGGTTTAATCTTAATCATGTAATGAATTTCATATACATGATCCAGAATTATTTTGTAATAATCGTTTTATCCTTCAATATATTTTTAAATTTGAACATTCGAACATGATATTTGTACAACTATATATTCTAATTCTAATTATAAAAAAAATATTATTATATTTCTTTGTCTTTTTGTGTATTATAATTAACTACAAAAATCAGAACGTTTTTGTTTTATTGTCTTCGAATATATTTATACATATATATATATATATATTAATAATCCATTATCTGTAATAATGCATTAATAATTATAATAATAATTATTATTATATACATATATGTGTATTATTATTAACAAATAATCTTAAAATTTACTGTATGATAAATTGCGATTTGTTTACGTTAAAACGTACTATTTTTGTAATTCCTTCGATAGCTCAGTTGGTAGAGCGGTGGACTGTAGTTGGTTGATTTCTGGAGACATCCATAGGTCGCTGGTTCGAATCCGGCTCGAAGGAAAATTTTTTTAATTCTCTAAAATTATGATTTTCATTCTCATCATTTGCTTTCATATTTTTACCTGTTTTTTTTACTATATTTTATAACATAGAAAGTACATAATTTAATAATATAATATTAAAAAATAGAAAAAATTATTTTTTTTATTATTAAAAGAATTTTTTTTCTTGTTTTTCGAATATGTCATTGCATTTTATTAATCGATATAATATAACAATTATTATTGTTTTATTTTATGCATCAAATTCATACTGCCCTCTGGAAGTGCAACTACATATCATGGTGTAGATGTTTGGTGGTAATGCAGATTATTTTTTTATAATTGCATATTAACTTTTTCCCGTTACTTCTAAATTAAAAAAATTAAATTTTAAAAAAGAAAAAAATGAGAAAGAGATATCTAACCTGTGTTTTTATAAAATTGAAAATAGTATAAAAATTATTATTCTATTTTTTTTATTTAATTTTTTTAATAAACAATTAAAAATATTGAAAATTAAACATTCTTTATTAATTTTAAATTATGAGACATTTATTTTTAAATAAAAAATATTTGTATTAGTATTTCATTATAATCATTCTCACATTTGTCACAAGATGGCTTCAAAGTCATTTCGCGATCGAATCAAATTTTCGAAATTCAATAAGAATCTCAGCAAATAAAGGATTGCAGCAAATAAATAACAGTAATACTAACAATCATTAGTGAAAAAATTTCTAAATAATCGAGTGTGTCGTGAAAGAAAATAGGGATTAATCTACTCTGGGCAATCGAGCGAATCGTTCGCGACGCTGATACACCGCGGGCGCGTTCACGTTAATTTATCGCCGGTCCGCTCTAATCGTCCTTCGTAATTTATTACTACTCTGTTCATATTTATTGGAGGGGTAGCAAGCTCCTGGCGCGGTGTATTGTACGCGCGAAATTGCTTATATTGTTGGTTGCACGTCAGATCGCGATAAATTATTCGATCGCAAAGGTGTGATATCTGACGCGCGATAGATCGCAACTATGGACGAACATGATTTGATATGGTACTTTATGCGACATTGCGCATGCGTTCATCGTTGTACATAAACATCGTGCAATAGTCCGATACAGAATATGAATTTTAATATTTTTAAAAGTAATCTCTTTTTCAATTAAAAGATTTGATCATTATTAAGTGAATTTTGAAGATTATTATTTAATATTGTATTATTAGACATTTTATCTGTATCTATGTACTTTTTTTCTTGATAAAGTTATAAGACAGTTTTAGCACACATATTAAAGGTTATTGATCGAAATGGATTTAACTGATCCTCTATCTTCAATGTAGTCTCTGTTCGGTTCATTCAGTATTCTATTCAAGAGGATGATATCATACCTCGATTTACTTAATAGAAGTTTTCATTGTTATTACGCTAACTCAAAAACTCTGTATCTATCTTATTATACAGCTTATCGTGTAACGAATGTATATCTTATCTTTCGTTTCTATTCTAAATTTTCTTTCTTTTTATTTTAAAACATTCATTCTTCTTTCATTTTTAATCTCAAAAGAGTTTGGTTCTCTTTCTTTCTGAAAGCGAAACTTCCTATAAGCGTTAAAGCTTTGAACACATACACATTCAAAGTTTTCTGCTCAAAGTACGCACTATTTGCACGCAAGTTATTTCCGATATACGTGTATATCTGACACGTGAGACGTGCATATCTGACACTTGAAGGAAATCGTACAAAGCAAGCCTTACGTGACTTGCCAAACCATACTATATGACTTGAAGTGAGATCTCGTGTGAATACGGATATCACGATGCTTATTCATAATTACTAAACTGCCTAAATGTATTGTTTAAAAATGATGGAGTAACGGTTTAATATTATAAAAATAACATAATTCTATAATTATAGAGAATTAGTAAATAGAGAACCAATTTACATTATCGATAATAAATCTTACTCAAACGTTGAACCTATAGACGATAATCAGATCATTCCACAACAACCAGATGAGATGAATCGCGTCACCGATTTATCCGGTCAAATATTTGCCTCCGGAATTTCGATGTTGGCGAACCTGGCAACCACCAATAGCGGCATAGCTTTTTGTCATTGGTATAATTGATAATCGTATGACTTGATCGCGCGTAATTTCGCTTCGTTTCATCGACGAGTAATATAATTTTCCTCTGAAAAAAAAAAAAAAAGAAAGAAAAATTGAACGAAACGTTTGACAATAAATTACAATAAATTATTTTTATCGAAAATTTTTATTGTTCCTTCTTCGAAATCCACAAAAAAGAAAATTTAAATACACGAAAAACAAAAAAAAAAAAATAAGAAAAAATGAAAATAACTTCTTTTTTTCAACTTTTCAAAAAAAAAAATCTACAGCCTCAAATGCTTCAAATTTAATTTATAATAAAAAATAAAATTCGTTTCCAAACGAAATATACATTTTTCACAATTATCGCCTCGATCATTTTCAGTTCAATCCTTCACTAAGTTAACAAGGCCGAAACGTGAAACGACGTGAAATTCCCCTAGACTCGAACAGGTCTCGAGACTTGAGAGAGTTAGCATCGAGGATTGTAGGATCGAAACAAAACTGTTGAAAGCGTTTCATTAGCCGATCGAGCTCTTCGTCGGGGTCATTGTTCGAGAGATGACCACCGGCAGAAGACGCGAAAGGAGAAACTACGGGATCAATATTGTCCGAAGGGGGAGGGGGGAGGGGACCGGTATTTGTTTGGGACGAAGCGGATTGCACATGGACGACACCGGCGATCGATTCGAGATGGAACTCTTTCATTAAATCGAAAAACGTCTTCGTTCCAGCGTGAAAGAACTCGATCGAGATTCGAGACGGTGGATGGTTTTCTCGAGGAACAGGTGCGCCGAACGAGTTGATTCTTCTTCCTTTTTTTTTTTTTTTTTTTTNTTTTTTTTTTTTTTTTTTTTTCTTTTCGTAAAGGAACTTGGTCGCTGAAATAGATCAGGGCCGTTATGGTGGAAAGGATGATTTTTGTAAAGGATATTTTTTTTTTTTTAAGTGACAAGAGAGTTTCTTTGTTTTTGAATAAGTTGAAAAGTTTGTTTTTGGTGGGAAAAATATTTTTTTTTTTTTCTACTTTGAATAAATTGAACTTTGTTTCTCAATTGAAAATGAGGGATGAAAATATGTTTAGACGTTGTAAGATTCATGCTTCTTATTTTTGAAATTTATCGATCAACTCGATAATTCTTCGTTCTTTTGGTTGGAGGATTCAGAGAAATTTCACGAGATGAATTCTCGTGAGGGAAATAGGAAAAGAGCGTTAAATATAAAAATAAAAAATTAAAATATTCGCGGTGTAAGCGCGATCGAAGAATGGAATTTATTATTTTGATCGTTAAACGAATGGAAAATTATCGGGATTGAAACGAAATCGATCTATCTGGTCGGTATTTTAAAATTAATGTCCCTTGTAATTAAAGGAAGTGTCCGATGAATGTGCCCGGTGAAACGCAACGATAAATATTTAACATCCAACTATTTTTCATATATTAATAATTCGTGTCGTCGTTGCGCCAACAGATTTCCAGATATTCATGAAAATTTATTAACGGTGACGTGATATAACGGCGGGAAAAAGTGCCGATGAATAATAAAAATTAATGGCGTCTGTAAACTGATACCCCGTGCCTCACAGCGGAAAGAGAGGGGGCGGGAGACTCTTCTAGAAAAACGCGACGACAGACTCCTGGATCTCATCCGAGGAGAAATCGAAATCGATTTGAAAAACGATGTAACGAGAAAAATGGATACGAAATAAGAAATTGGCGGTTCGATAAAGTTTAAGGAAATAAAATAGAATCTCTCTCTTGCAAGATTTATTTCTCGTTTTATTTCGCTTTGTGTATATACAGTTTATCTCGGGCAAGAACCTTCTTCTTATATAAATAACGATGTTCTATAAAGAAGCACAAAGTGGGTACAGCGCGATGATCCGTCACGAAAATAAAAATAAAAATAAAATCCTGGCTTAAGGGAAGGAGCGAGGGATCTGTAGGAGGGATCTCTTAATTAAAATTAGGAGATCGCCGAAACCGTCGTGTTGCGACGCTTTCGACAATCGTTTCGGCTCGTCGTTCCCAATTTGCATAACAGTAAAGATCCCGGGATTTCCCTTCGTTGTGCACGGGGAGACACGTAACACGCGGCCGTTACTTAGGCAATTTCATTAACC